CAAGGCCTCCCCTAGTTGCACGTAATGGGCTTGGCAGTGCTGATGCGCGATACTTATTTCACCCCGGGAGATTTCTATCAATCAGATGCCGCCCACAGCTGCAGGCCAAGATCGAAGGGCTGACTCGTACCATCTGCTATTCGCTTCCCTCGGGCTGCAAAGCGGATCAGAGACCCACGTTTTTACCCCTTCTGACGTTTGGACGTTTTCCATGTTTCGATGCTTGAGGGCAAAAACTGATCGGGCCTCAAACTCGCCCCCTCCTGCGATGGTGATCATATCCGCCCTGACCTCGTCCACGTCTCTTGGCATCTCCTACTTTGCAGCCTCAGGTTTCAAATTAGTCTTTTGTAGCATCCTTTTCCTCAGAGCCTCGTACTCATTCAACACATTCTTTTCAGCCCGCCTGCCTAGCAAAACGTGTTCCACGTTTTCTTCCACCATGGCCACGTCGCTCGGATCGCTTTTTCTTCGGCTAGAATGTGTTCCAGATCCAGCTCCCGTCGGCCAGAGACCACATCGATATCCTTGATTTGGCGGATCGAGGTTCTCTTCCAAATCTTGAATCCGATGTAGAAGACTATGACGATGGGCGCCGCCAAATATCCTTCGAAGAAGATCTTGGTCCTCTCAGATGATGACATGTCACGGTAACCAATCTGTGGTGGCAAAAGATAGTCAGCCTTGTCATTTGAACAATTCAAAGGATGATACGAATCAGTGACACAATCAGGTGCCATGTACGTCAGCATTCATGTTGGCGACAAGGACAACTCACAGGGGCAAATCCCGTCCAGAACTGGGCTATCAGCACCAGGCAATTGAACAGAAATCCAATCCATGACCCAATCACGCCCGCTTGAGACTTGTAAGGCAGTTCGTCCAGAGTGTGACCGTGGTATTTCCAGGCGTGGCGGAATCGGATGTGACACAGACAGATGGATCCCCAGGTGAAGATGCTTGCGAGACCGCTGACCGCAAACATCCAGTTCCACGCTTCTTGACGCTGCGAGGGCGACAACGCCACAATATAACAGAGAGCCCCGAGTGCCGACGAGAAGAGAATGGCCACAAGCGGTCTGCCTGTTCGGTCAATATAGCCAAAGATTTTGGGTGCTTGACCGTTATCAGCCAGTGCAGCCAGCGTTCGCGATGCGCCATAAACAGATGCGTTTCCGACACTCAGAACTGCGATGAGAATGACAGCATTGAAAACCGAGGGCAAGCCTCCAACGCCCGCATTCTGACTCCTTGTTAGCGTCGACCATCTCCTCTCAAAGCCTCCCGGCTGCCAGAACAACTTACCTTGATGGCCAGCACGAATGGCGAGGTCCAGTTGTTGGCGCTGCTGCCGCTATTGAGCAGCCGAGGGTCATCCCATCGCACCAGGCACCCAACGAAGGTCAAGGAGATGATATAGAACTGGTTCGGCCCCCGTTAGTGAGGGCTGACGCAAAATGCCAGGGGTCTTTTCCGAGCCGGCTTACGAGAACCACCCGCCAGAACACTTGTTTGATGGCGGTGGGAAGCGCCAGACGTGGATTTTCTGCCTCTGCTGCCGCCAAACCCACCAGCTCGGTCCCACCGAACGAAAACGCGGCGGTGACAAAGACCGAGCAGACGCCCTTGAAACCATACGCAAATGCGCCTGGGTCATCCCATGTTTTGGCTCCGAAGTAATGCCCGGTAGGTCCTCCACCGACGTCAACGACTAAGGCGAATATACTGTACGACAGTCCGAGTCAGTATCGTTTTCTTTCCGCATCATTTTATGGAAAAGGATGTAACTCACATAAACCCTAACGTGGCGATCACTTTGACGATCGAGAAAATGAACTCAGCCTCTCCGTAACCCCTGACCCCGAACAGATTGATGGAGACAATGACAATATAGAAGATGGTGACCCAGACACAGGGGTTAACGTCACGTGCCCCCTGCCAGTAATTCAGGGTTATACTGGCAGCCATTATTTCAATGGGCAAAGTGACTAGCCACTGAAAGCAGTAATTCCAACCCCTAGGGTCAGGGTCAGGGTTAGGGTCATGACTTGCGTTATCAGGGTGGGGATTCACTTACATTGCAAAACCCCATGCTGGGTCAATAAATCTTGATGAGTATGCCGAGTATGAGCCAGCGACTGGGAATCTGTTGGCGCAATTTTGATATCAGCCTCTTGAGCCACAGTGAGGGGGCGAAGAAGACCATCATGCAGGCGGTGACCGCTTTGGCGACGCTCTGCGTCTCCCGCCAGGTCTGATGGAGTCACTCACAAGACAGCCATCTCTCCCAAGGCATGCACGGTGCAGAAGATCATGATTCCCAGGAGGCAATACGCGAGCACAAGCGCTGCTGGACCGCCGGTAGCAAGGGCCGAGCCTGAACCGACAAAGAGACCAGTGCCTATGGAGCCGCCAATGGCAATCATCTGCAAATGTCGCTGTTTGAGTTTCATGGCCAGCGCTGGCTGTGCTGGCGGCTGGTCAGGCAGCGGTTTCCCATTGTCGTCGACGAGCAACTCGGTGACGCGGGCGCTGTTGGACACAGAGAGAGCGGGGATGTTAGCATGACCTCCGTGTCGGTTTCAGGCATACGTATGAAGTGGAAGACGCACTGAGGGTTTTCACGAAATCCATCGATTATGCGGGCGAACAAAGACGTCTTCTCCTGAGTGGCGACGATCTGGCCATATCCCTGGCTAGGAGTAGGAGACCCAGGGCTGGGTTCCGGCTTCTTCTCCAAGTCAACATCCATGTTGACGACCTGGAAATCTGGGGCTGTCGTCGAAGTTTCGGAAGTCAGGGGCGTGCAAATCGAGAGCAAGACCACGAAGCTTCGCTACCGGGAAACGATATGAGACGAGAACGTGTGTCTATTACAGAAGCTTTCAGGGTGGAAGAGTTCAAGAACGAGGAAATGTGGGAAATTCGCAGCCTTTTGACCCCTAGGACATGGAATGCGATGTCGGTAAAGATTTCTCGAAGCAAATCCGCCTCCACGCGCGGCTGTAGCGCGGGACAACATCTCGACTTCGGTGAAGGACCCATCTCGGGGTATCCCTAGCCTCGGGTGGTACTGTTCTGGCATGGGATTATGTTACACTGACAAGTTGAGGTCACAACAAGGTTGGACGCCGAATCTCTGTGTGCGGATGCTCCGGAAGCAAAGGATAGAGATAAGGTACCTGAGAAGCACCAGGATCTATGCTTGGTGAGCCCTGATCAAAAGAGTGGACTGGACAGTGGTCGATAAGACTCGCTGAGTGAGTGATTCACGATACAGGGTGGATGAGTGATATAGTTCGTGTGGGGAGATTGAGCTTTTTTCCCTCCCTGCTCTTACGACATAGGCCACTTCAACGGTGGTCGCATGCTGATACGCTGGGAGGGAGAGAGCCTCGTGAGTTGACAGCCAATCAGAAAGGAGATGAACGGTAAGGCTAACTCCCTCTGTCCAGCTTCGATATAGAATAATTCATCGCCTATTGGTGCTCTTTACTCGGCGATGGCAAGAAGCTCATGCATGATGATCACACCAGCGGCAATGCTGCGCGTGTCGGATTTGTCCGAGGGGAAAGGGCGAATACGTGGTATTTTGCATCGTGGGGCGCAGGTGCTGACTGGGTTATAGGGTGAGCAGATGTGTATGCAGCCCAGTGGTTGATTGACCAACGACAGCGATAGAGACGTTGTCGATTGTTCCTTTTCCCATGGCTGAAAGGGGATGCCTCTTTATGACATCATAGCCTTCATCCCCGCGCCCAGCCCTGCACTGGCTGTAGCCAGATCTGGCACTACGTCACCACGAGGCTGTACATTGTCCAAGTAGTTGGAAATAGAGAAGCACCAGCATGTGCTACCTTCTTGTCTTATCAGCCATTACTCTTCTCATGGAACCATCTGTCCCTGCGCAGCATTGTACACCTTTACCGACTGAACCCTTGGGTCGGCCTTTTCTCGCGACCCGGAAAATACAGACCTCCGAGCCTTATTCCGCTTTCGCCACTCCAAGGACGCAGGTCTTTCTGACACGCATATGAAACCCTCGGCGACGGCAGTAGCTTGGACAAGCAGGTAGCAAGGCTGAAGATAAGACTCGTATCTATTCAAGTGCTCCAGCTCACCATAGCAAGCAGGCTATGTCATGTTCATTGAAATCCTCGAGCCTGTCTCCATATGCCACAAACAGGAGTCTCCAAACCCATCCCTCGTGGCTTACGTGGCCGTTGCATGGTATCGTCAGTCACTTATATCTTTCCTTTTGCTCATTTGGGTCAGAGAGCCGACGCAAGCACACTCTCTGGGAAGCAGCATCATGCACAAAATACCTGGTCTCCCTTTAATGAAGGATCTGGACCCCGTGTCAATTCCACCCCACGTTTGCTGCTTCCAAGATCCGATGGACTCCGCCGCCGATTGCTCCCTGGGTTTGGTCCTGCAAAGACATCTACCTGCACAAGACAAAATCAGATTAGGAGAGTAGTCGACGGTTACAAGTAAAGCACCTGCAGCCTCTTTTCCTGTGGGATCACCACAGAATCAAGATGTGTTAAGCATTGTGCGACATGGTGCTTATTGGAAATCCCAGGCCTTGGCCATGCATCGTGAGCCAGTTTCGTGCTGATCTTCTTCAATAATAGACACTGTCACAAATGATGGCATTGCGTCGGCCATTCCTCTTGGTATCGTGCAGATAGGTGCTGGAGTTTCACCGGTCGAAAATCATCTGCGATATGATCGCTCCTTGTGTGGCATTTTCTTTCTCGATGCTTTATTGATAAATCTTGGTTCTTGGAAACTCAGTTGGCTTGCCATACGATCGCTAACCTGGAACTCTACCTAGTCTTATCAGGCCCCTGACCATGAGGAGTCTTTTTGTTTTTCCATGGAACCATTTTTCAACACGAGACAATATGGCTTCACAACCATCGCCGTTCTCCGGGCCATGCTCTGACCTGTCATACATAGCTAGGAAGGAAAGACATAAATCCGCCATCCAGCTTTCAGCCATCCAAGTTGTTGTCCACGATATCCCAAAGCTCGTTCCGGTGGCGCCGCAGAAAATCGCGGTTACCAGTCATCCTATTCACCCGTAATACCCACCTAATCATGATAGCTCGCCAGCTTTGGAAGTCGATGAACTGAGCCTCCAACCGCTCACCCTCCTCCTCGCTGATGCTCCAAGTCTTTTCTTTTCGAACCAGCTCCGAAGCCTCGTTTGCGATGCGTAGCCGTTGCAGAGCAATCTCTGATATCTTGACCTCAAAATCCAAAATGGCAGCCCAGTTCTTCTGTTCTTCCGATGTATAAAGGATTTCTTGAACAAGTGTTTCAACGTGAGGTTTGCCGTCTTCTCCTTCGCTATCAGAATCCAAGTGGATGACATCGATTGTCTTCTTCTTCACGACTTTCCATCGATCATGACACACTTCTTGTTGCAGTTTGCGGAGCACCTGGATGTTCGTGCGGACGATGAACTGGATCGTGTGGTTTGCCTCGGGATTGGCCAGAAGTTCGAACAGTGCCTGGACCAGCTCTTCGGATTTCTTCCCAGTTCTGCGCAGGTAGAGATGATAATCTGATGCACCAATTGGTATTGGGTGGGCTGAACCGGGACTTTCAGTACGACCAGGTCAGGCCAATCGCCTACCACATCCATTCAATGGCTTCAAGAGTGTGTGGCTTGCTTGTCGTGCAGCTGTGCTCAGGACCTGGCCTAAAGGTTTGCTTGCCGGCGGAAAAGGGTGTTGCTCCAGCTCTATGGCATGTTGACAAAGGCATCAATGACCAGAAAGGACGGACTCACCTTGAATAAGTGGATCGAAATCGTGGGAAACCCAGAGCATTTTGGCTTTGTGGTTCTTTTTCTCTGTTTTCCCGGACATGGTTTGTATGTTCGCTGATGGTTGCCTTGGACCAAGACCAAAAATGCGTGGGCTCTCTTCACAACTCACGGCGATGAGAATGAATTTCTTGTTGCTTTTCATTTGGCGCAAGAAATCTTTCTGCACTGGTGAGGCAGTTCATCGCCAAGGTGACAGGTGTTGAGGCAATCCAGCAGTGATGTATCCTGTCGCGAGCCTGGAATTCGCCTCGTCCATCTGGTGTATGGCTTCATCTTGTGCGCAGCACATCAAGCACACCTCACCTACTGCTGGTCCAGCCGCACGGGTAAGTTGGCCAGCCCGCCACCCAACCATATATATCACATGAAACAGCATGCAGATCGCACTCAGGGAAGAGCAGCGACCAGATGAAGCAGGGCTTAACAGTCGATCAGAAAGACATCAAGCCAATCTACGGTCGAGTTTCGGGTTCACGTACATCGGGAATTGGCTCCCTGACATTGTTTCGAGGAGCCTTTGTACCTGTGAAGAAATCTCAACAGCAACTCAGACTTGTGTTGAAGTCATAAGGACCAAAGAATAGACAGCATTGGCAGATTAGCAACTCCTCTGTCCTATTCGCTCACTCGTTGAGATGAGTCTGGTTTGTGCTACATATACATTGTCATCTGCCTGGTGCCGTGTTGTGGTTTTGTCATGGACCCCTTTACCTTTACCCCTCTCACTCCCAGCCTGATCCGCCATCGACGCTAGATATACTCTCGGTACCATCGGCTGGTGTTCAAAGTGGAACAGAATACTCTGGCGAAATGTCAGCACATGGAAGATGCCCATACTGGTCTGAAGCAAGGGATCAAAGTACTGCGGTGTTGAAAGGGAACACGAGATGCTTACCATTGGTTCTGCAGGTGGCATTACACGCAGGCCAGGGATCGTTGTCCCTTCCTCCGTCCTGTGGCGTCCTTATCACGTCCTTCAACAGGTCAATCAAACTCTGGTTGCCCAGCTTTTGAATGCCAGACTTGATGGCGTCGAGGGTGTCGTTGGTCGGACCCGAGGGCGCCCGGCTGAAGATATCGAGCGACGCCACCGACTGTGACGCTGCGGGTGTCTCATAGACGACCACGAAGCCGTCGCCGTGAGAGTCGTAACCCCAGCCGATGACTTCGTACGTGTTGTTCTGCGCAGCGAGAGAGGCCGTGGGCACGCTGTGGTAGGCACCGCCAACGGCGTCACTGACGGCCGTGTCGAGCGAATACGCCATGTACGTGGCGTTGGGCTTCTTCATGTCATTTACGAGCTGAAAGGTCGTCAAGGTGGCGAGGTGCGTGGCCTGGAGCGGGTAGCACGAGTCATTCGCGCAAGGCCGTGTCAAGGTCCAGATGAAATTCCGGAAGATTTGGTAGAGCTCTTGGTTGGAGTACGTGATGAACCAGTTCCCCAGGAACCAGTTTGGTGGCATCGGGTCCCATGGCTTCGAGGGTGTCTCGTTGAAGGTCGGTGGTGCCCGCAGCTGGATCGGGTGGAGGGGGACTTGATGTGCTTGGAGGAGTGGGAGGGACAAGTCTGTGTCTTCAGGTCAGTGACCCATCCATGCACCCTATTCAGTGGCTACTGGTGCTCTAGATCTGCTGGTGGTGTGGATCACGTTGCCAGACAGCAGTTGGATGTCAGAAGATTGCACCCTGAGGGTGAACATACCCGGTTGAGCTCCGATACCAGCACCCAAAGACACCCAGGGGAAGCACATAAAGACAAGGCTCATCAGGAGGGACAGAAACATCTTGCGAAAAATCACAGCACGATGTGAACAAAGGTACGAGACCACTGGCAACTGGCATGCACCTACTGTCTTGCACTTACTGCGACACACACGTATTTATACCTCCAACCACACTGTCCGTCCATCTATCCATACAAACAGTTTAGTCGCTTCGCCAACCCTCCCTCGAAAAAGCCAGGCAGACTGGCATGCGCCAAAATGCCATTACGGGGATTCATGCATTCATTCACCTCCTCGTCTATCATCGTCGGCAAATGCAGAGGCAGATGCAGCTCCAGCTGAGCAAGCTAGCTCGCTAGCTAACTAGTCGGTCAAGGTCTATCTATCTATTAGCTAGCGCTTATATATATACTTTGGTACCTCAGGCTGCATTCCGACCACTGCGGGAGATACGCCAGCTAGCATGGCCAGCCAGACCGAGCCAGGACACAAGCAAGCAAGCCACCCATCTATCCATCCCTCGATCTATCTACATAACGCGACTGAGCGCCTCACCCAAGCCCCCAGGTCAGGTCAGGTCAGTCATGTTCGCCAGTTCGTCCCTCCCTGCTTTTCCCCGGAACCCGGGGGATGACTGTACATAAGTCTGGAATGCCTGATATTCCTGCCCATGGGGTCGAGTCGGCTATTGGTAATAAACCTCCAATGTTGCTGACGGGCTGCTACGAAGTACAGCCTCGTTTGCTCCTCTCGTTCGTTTCATCTTGGAAGCTTGGTCTTCGATTGGTGAGCGGCCAGCAGGGGTATGTATATGTACAGTACCTCGTACCAGGCACTCACTCACTCACTCGAACGTATGTATGCCTGCATGTAAGTATGTCCGTACGGCTGACGTCTACTTCCCGGATTATTCTACAGATGACATATCAGGCTCCAAGTCCGCGGCCCTGAGCTCTGAGCAAAGCGTGCTAAGATCTCCAGAAGAGAAGAGAGAATTACTCAAACGAGTAGTACCCACATCCACATCCACATCCGCTTCACATTTCCACTTCCACGTAGGGTGTACCGTGGACCTCGTCTCGAGTATCGCGTATCGTGTACCGGGTATGTACTTGTACTCGTTCGCGTACGGGGACTATGATATCACGATATCGTGATGCCTAGGTATTTATATCAGATGTACAAGTATGAGGTACTGCGGATACAGATATCGACAGAGATGCAGATACCGGGGTTGGGGTTGGGGTGCACGGAGGGTTGTTATATGATTAACATGACCCAGGTACCCAGCAGGCAGCAAGCAGCAAGCAATGAGTGGACTGACTGATTGACTGTTTACCAACATTTAGGGCCTCCCCCTTTCTACGCTACATGCCACAGCACAGACCACCACAGACCACCAGACTGAATACCAATAAAGCAACACGCACGCATCGACGGAGAGTGAAAAAGGGGCAGGGAAGGATTTATGAAGCAAGGCATCCAAAATAGAAAATGGCTTGCTTCTGTCTCTGTCTCTGTCTCTGCCTCGAGCAGATATTGCGCGGCCAAGCCAGACTCGAGAGGAAGAAAGTACCCGGACGTCTAGACATCATGCACACATCCTCAGGACAGATGCTGGACAGATACCATGGACAGACCAGACATGGTGAAAGTCCAAATACCATCCTTCTTGATGGAACACCATATCTTTATGGCCCAAACCGAGTTTCGTCCATTGCCATTTTCGTTCAGGAAAGGGAGTGAGGCCGCTTTACTCGTGTACACTTCGTGATGGAGCATCGAGGAGACCCGGCAGAGTACGGGGGACCCATCAGCCGAGAGCTGATTGGGGGCCATTATCCCTGCCCGTGATGAGTCAGCGGAAAAGCAGCTGTAGAGATATCCGAAGAAGTGAAGCACGATTTCCGGCGGCCTCAGTCCCAAAACCCTTGCCCGCGCAATTGAAGGGAGAGGGACAGCAGTGTCGGTGTGAATCGGGCCGTGACGGACAATCCAATCCAACAGCGAACTAGTTGGGTAGCTGCGTTTCACTCTGTCTCGAGCTTTCCCCTCGTAGGAAATGCAACTTTGACTTGCTCTTTAGTCGGGGGGGTTGGGGGGGTGGACTAGTACTGTACCTTGAGCCACGCCGTGCCAGGCAAAGCACGAGGACGATGCGGGGTTGTGGGGAGGGGAAGGGAAGGAGGACCGTGGACCCCCAGACCCCGAAGCCTCGTCGCCTGGTCTTCAACTGCTGCTGTGTACCTCGTACTTGCTGCACTCTCCTCCGCTCACCTCAGTACAATTTGTCTTTGCGCTTGATAGCCAGATAGAGTCGCCATCGCACATGTCTACTGAACGATCACTGTCGCCACTTGTTGGATCGCCGGCAAAACCAGCCTCCCAAGCCCATGGAGAGTCAGATCCTCCGCGCTCATCTAGTAGACAGAAGAAACGCTCCCCGCGGCGGGCATCCATCGCCTGTGTGGCATGTCGGAAGAGGAAAATCAAGGTAAGCCTACAACGTGCAGTCCGTGCTCTCTGCTTATTCTCCGCCTAGTGTGATGGGGATCCCAAGAAGAAGGGCGAGCCGTGCCTGCAGTGTAAGCACCTCAATCGACCTTGCATATTTCGCATGGACGATCGACGCAAGATGAAGTAAGGAGGCACATGTTCTCTCACCATATGGTCGTGAATTAACGCAGACACAGCTCAACATCAAAAGCCTACATAAAGCGCCTCCAAGATCGCCTTGCGGCATTGCAGGGGAGCCAGGGCAATCCGTCTCCCACAAGGGAAGACGACGATGGCAGCTCTTCCGGATCTGGACCGCATCCCACTCATGCAACGGTTGAGGAAGTCAGAGTCTCGCTCGGCGACGGGCCTACGCAAGCTATACCTGCCCCGTCTGACGCCGACAATGTCTTTCGTGGCTGCTCGAACGTGATCAGAGAGCAAGACCCATTCGCAGGCATCTCGAACTATCAGATGATGGATTGGCAGTTTGACATTTTCGACCTGGACCCCGTACAGTCCACCAACGATCAAGACACTCGCAGTGGCGCGCCACCGAAGTCCATTGAGGCGAGGAACTACATGATCAGCCAGCTGTATGCGGCGATGGGGCAGCTTGATGGGGATGAGCCTGGACAAATCATGAACCTGAACATCACCTCTATCCTCCCACCCTCGTCGCCCGAACCGCTTGAATCAGCAACACAAGCTCTTGAGGAGCTGGCCGATTCCAAGGATGTGCAGAAACATCTCTTGGATCTCTATTTCATGTACCCCGATCCCTTGCTACAGGTGCTGCTGAAAGAACCATTCATGTCTGTCTACGCTGCCGGAGTGAAGACGCAGTATTTCTCAAAACTTCTCCTATACTCGGTTCTTCTGAACGCCTTGCGGCTTAGCAGCGATGCCTCAATCCGTAATCTAGATCGAGTCTACCTGAAGAGAGTGAGAGAGGAGCTCGTCCTTGAGATGGAAAACCCAACAATATCTACAATTCAAGCTTTGTGCATCTTTGCTGATTATCGTGGTTCGGGCGTAGGCCATGATAAGGTGCGTGTGAAAGCCGTCAAATCCATCAAAGACCTCATCTAACCTTGACTTCAGGCATGTCTACTTTACGCGGGTACGTGAGAGCTTCAGAGATGGACACGGGTCGGGGTGTCTAAACGTCTTACCTTCCAGGCATTGCTTTTCGAATGCTGTATGACCTCGGTCTCAACCGCGACGGCACCGACTTGCTCGCACTCGGGTACATCTCAGAACGTGACTTGCAAGTCCGTCACGACGTGTTTTGGGGCTGCTACGTATATGATAAGTACGTGTGGACTGTCGATGGGGCTGAAACCGGCCATCTAATGCTTCATTTCAGGTTCTACAGCATTTACCTAGGGCGTCCAAGTACCGTGAAGCTGGCCGATGCAACGGTGCCGCGGCCATCAAGTAGGAGCGATGACCCGCAGCTTCAGATCCGAGTTGCATGGTGTGATCTTTGCATGATCCTAAGCGATGTCATCGACATGGTCAACTACCCGTCATCTTCGATTTTGTTGAGACACCAGAGCACCATTGCCCGCCTCTCGAGCATGAGCCAACGACTGCTCCAGTGGTTGGAAGCTCTACCGATCTGGATTCGGAGGAAACCAGAATCAGAACACCCTCCTCCCCCTCCAGGCGTATACGCTCTCCACATGCAGTTCTACACCACAATCATCATGCTTCACCGGCCGTTTGCGGCCTACACGTCCCCCTCATCAGGCACCGTTGGACATCAGGGGGGAAAGTCTTTGGGAGGTCACACTCCGGCGCTCTCCAGACAGGTATGCAATGAAAACGCGATTCGATTCTCGAAGCTGCTCTTGGCATACAGGGAACACTATGGCGTCGAGAAGATCTACTCGTCGATGCTGCACATGATCTTTATTGCGGCCACGACGCTCATCTCCCAAATCTCGACCGACACGAGCGAGAAAGGGGAAGAAGGCACCGAGAAGAAAAAATGGCTGGCGGTGTGCCTGCAGGCGCTCAACGATTTGACGCCCTCCTTCCACATAGCCGGACGCGTACATAGGGTCATTGCCTCCTTTCTCGAAGGCTGCGGGTACTCGGAGCTTGCTCCTCTCGCCGCCGCCGCCGGTGGTGACACGGATGGGAAGATGCCCGATCAGCAATCCTCGCAGCGACAAGGCGAGGCCCGGAGACCGTCTCGTGAAGTTTTTCCCACCCACTCTTTGGCCTCCGGCTCCTCAGGGGGCGAGGATATCACTGATACAACCCTCGCCGTCAATGAATACGGGCTTCGCCAGGCCCTTCAGCAATATCATGCAACAACAACAACAACAACAACAGCAACAGCAACAGCAACATATCCCACGCTCGGAGGCATGGAGAGTCTGCTGAACCTGGATTCCTTCCAAACTCAGTCGGTGTTCCCTGATTTCGAAAAGGCCGACGTTGACAGACTAACGGAGCTGGAAATGAACTACCTATGTACTTGAGGCAGTATTGGTATGTCCAGGAACGATAACCTTGGTACCCCTTTTGGAGAG